TGAAAACATTTAGCAAATAGTCCAAAAAAGCAAATTTTCAATCGGAATCTTTACATGTAATAAAGGTCAAATTTCTTCGTTGTAATGTATGTATATTATTTCATTAATAAAATTGCTCAACATAACAGATTACATATATCTACAATATGGTGTTGGCATAAATTAGTTCGTGATAAGGGTTTAAAAAGTTATCCGACCACCCTGTAATTTTATTATTATTATATAAAACACTTAATAAAGTTGACAAAATGCAAATTTTAAGGCTTTACGTTTTGTTGTCTATACTTGATCAAATTTTAACCATATATAATTCAAGATATTTTAAGCGGACTTACTTAATGACGTAATCAATGATTCAACGGGGTTTTTACTAAGCTCAAGGTTTTCATAAAAATCACGGAATTTTCTGTCTAATTTAAAATTTTTGTCCTAAATTCATTAATAATGCAAACTCGACGAGACTTTAAGTTTATATGCAAATTAACTTTAAAAAAACGTTTTTACTTAATGCACCAGTCCCGGTTTGATTAATAAAATTTTGAACTGCATAATAATAAGGCGTAACATCAGGTGATCGCATATTAAGTGTATATAGAAATTACGTTGTACAAAAAATTAGAATCATGCCACGCAAAAGTTATTATAAAATTTTATGAAAAATCAAAAAATGCTAGAAATTATTTGATTAGTCACATTTTCTAAAAAATTTGTTATATATATAAGTCAAATTTTTGTCTATTTTATTTTTATTTTAAATTTATTTTTTCATTATATTGTTGTGAATAAAAATTGAAATCACGTTTTTAAATCCAACCAATCAAATCGCTTTAGATCGTGGAAGTATAGATTATTAATAATAATATATTAATATTATTACTTACCACGCGTAACAATAAACCATAATAATAAACCCGTTAATACAATGTAATATATGTATACAGTAAGTTATTATTAATAATATTATTAGTAATATATTATTGCTTTCGCGTGCATAATAGTAACAATAAACCATAATAATAAACCTGTTAATACAATGTTATATATGTATACAATAAGTTATTATTAATAATATTATTAGTAATACATTATTACTTACCTTGATGGTCGCGTGCATAATAATAAACAAACCCGTTAATGCAATGTAATATATGTATACGATAAATTATTATTTATTAATAATATTACTTACCTTGATGATCGATCGCGTGCATAACCCATTAATGCAATGTAATATATATATTACAATAAATTATATGTTATTAGTAATACATTATTACTTACCTTGATGGTCGCGTGTAACCTGTTAATACAATGTTATACAATAAATTATTATTAATAATATATTAATATTATTACTTGCCACGTTAACAATAATAAATCAGTTATGCTTTGGTTGCATACGTAACAATAACCATAATAGTAAACCTCGTTAAGAATTATTATTAGTAATTGATATATTATTATTACCATCCTTGAACAATAATCCAATCCAATTGTTTAATTGGTAGATCTGTTTTTATTTTGATATAATATACAATAAGTTATAATATTATTCATTATTTACTATATTAATTATGTTATGCTTCTGTTTTTTTGAGGTTACAATTCTTTTAGTTAATGAATAGGTAATGAATGAGCAAAATAAAATAAACCAACGTTTCTAATTTATTACTCAAAGATCCATATGTTGTTTGTTCATAAGTCAACTGTTATTATATATTAATATCGGACCAAAAAAATTTCTCCAACATCAATATAAATAATAATAAAATAATTTCCTTCTTAGTCCTTTTATATAGTGATAGTAATAAATAGTAATAATTTTGACATTTTTCTTAAATCCATAGTACTAGTGGCTATAGTAGTAGTAATATAGATTATAAATATAATTGTTGTAATTTATTTATAATTTTACAAATAGTTAAATCCCTCAACAATAATATTAATATTAGTATAGAATTTGTTGCATCAAGCTGTGAATTAATATTTTATAAAACGAATAATTCAAACAAAACGAATAAAACGGATAATTCAAATAAAACGAATAAAACGAATAATTCAAATAAAGAATTTGTATCAATATTAATATTAAAAATGTGTAATTGGAAAATGGCCTATTTCCAAAAATTTTATTGACATTCTAAATTTTAACAGAATGCCTGGAATTTTATGATAGGATTTGCACCCTGGTCTAATGATGCATGACGAAATGTTTTTGGAGTTGAGAAACTATTTCGTCAAATGTAATAAAAAATGACGAAAGACTA